ATGCTGGATTGAGAGCAAGAACAACAGGGGCTCCACAGAATCACTGGTTAGCAACTTCTTCTTCTTTAAATTTTGTTTGTGATTGTTATACATCTTTTTTAGTTGATTGACTGTCCTATCCCCTAATGTAGGTTTGGTCCTGCCGGGGACCCCAGAGGAGCCGGAATAGGTACTCCAGAAGCTATAAAACTTGTATGGTCTTGCCACAGAGAAATCATCTATGATGTTGGTCCCATGCCACTAGGATGGAAAGTTCCTGCATCTACTTGAGGAACAACTGCTACCACTCAAATTAAAGCACTCGAGGATCGCGTTCAAAGAACCTAACATTAGAATTCCCTAGAGAGAATCCAGTTGAGGATAATGGAAGGATTAGCTTGGTTAACACAAAGCCAATCAGAATGTTATTTGAGTGCTTATGTTTGTGCAAACATATGAGCGACCAACTTATATATCTAATAAATAAGTGAGTTATTTTCGCTTTTTGGAGAATATGCTCCCACTTGAATCTTGTTCTGTCCTCCCCCAGTTCTACTTCTTTCCATTCAAAAACGCCTCATGATCCACATAAAATGATGCCAGTAACTATGGAAAAGGGAAATGGATGGTCTTTCATTGATTGTAGTATGTAGATGAGCACGATATTAGCATCTTGTTTTGATCTATCGAAAACAACCTTCTTAGGCTAATTGAATTCTACGTGGAATTACAATAGTAACAAAAATAAAAATTGGCAATCAAACATAATATTGTTTTCAATCGTACAAATAATCAAGTTTAGGTGGTAAATGGTAATGATGCTCAAACTTTAAAGGTTCAATTCTATTGAAGTCTCAATTTATGTCCAACTCTATATTAGTAATAATTATGGTATAAATAGATTTTTTTAATATTATATATATACGAGGGAAAAGAGATAAATATAGGGTAAACAACGCAAATTCCACTACTTTAGACCCTAATTACTAGAAATCCCATTAGTTTTTAATATTACTTTCTATACCACTTTCGGCTATCGGATACATGTATCATAAGCCATTAGATACATGTATTTAGCATATTTAAAAGAACGAGATACATGATTAATTGATTTGAACTAAATTTTGTAACTTAATTCCTTAATTAAAGGAGTAAATGATGGGAAATTAACAAACAAAATGGATTTAGTAGATACTTCTGTATCAACTATTATATATCAGTTTTAATATGAAATTTAAATCATAAACATTAGTAATTCTGAAATTGTAAACTTCATCTACTTCATCAATTCCTTCTTTTGAATCTTCAATTTTTGAGGGTTTTTTTCTTCATATGGCCAATATCACAGTATTATTGAGGCATTCGGTTCATGTAACTCTTAAATCGAATTCGGGATCAATATCACATGTATCTCTGAAATGGATATATGTATCTCGCGAGTAATGATATATGACGTATCTCAAGGATGAAATATTTGAAACTTTAAGATACAAAGGAAGAAATTGATGAAGAAGATGAAGTTTACA